CATACAATTATATATATATATATATATATATATATATATATATATATATATGTCATAAATAAAGGCAGAAAAAAGACCCCAAAGGATACAATATGACTTGATGAACGAAGGAGCAAAGAGTTGAAACAAAAACTCAATATTATACCTTGAAGGATTAAGCTTTGGTTTCACAGAGCTCAACATCTTTCAGGTTGATGTGCTCTACCCCTTCCTTCAGCAGCCTTATCTCATCTTCAGTCATGCTGTTCTTCCCGTGATGAGGGGCCTTTCCGTTCCTCTGTTTCTCGACCTCGACCGCCCAACTGTAAACCACCATGCCCACGACGGCTAGGACCATTCCCGTGATGTTCTTGAATGTCATCTCCGAGTCGAAGATCAGCCATCCTAGTGTTAGGACACACACTGTTTTCATGTGGCCAAGGACTTGGAAGGAGACAGCTGAGAATCTTCCTATGCAGAGGTATTGGCTTATGTTACAGAAGACAGCCAGCGTGCAAGACACGAGTATGCATAGCTGCGTTTCATAGCGATATTTTTAGATAATGAGTTGGCGAGAAGAAAGGTTCGGGCTTTGTACTTGTAATTGGGAACTTAAAGTAGAATATATACTCACAATGGCACTGTAAGTCATCTTGTATGTAGTTATGAATTTGCCACTCAAGGAATAGTCTATAAACGGGCCGAAGATGAGGAGTGAGAGGGCTTGGATCGGAGCTGTCTTGCTCAGCAGTTCGAAAGATCCGATCGAATATTTCTTCTGGAGAGATCCTATAGACTGCAACAGAAATGGCTATGATCAGCAATACTAGAACAACATCCCCTCTAAAGAGCGTTCACAAAAGAACATTGCTTTCCCCAGAATTTCGTCAAAGTTAAATCTTTTGCTTCCAGGGGTTTTCAGCACTACGAGATCAACGTCCGGCTTTACCAACAAACACAAATATCTCTAATGATCTCAGATCTCAGGAAGTATTAAGAAATCTAAGCTGAACACATGTTAGATGAAATGCCTAATTGATCTGTGTTGATCCAAGATGAAAAGGGTATCTAGTTTTCGCGAAAAGTTTTAATCTTTGCCAACAAGAAGGAGAAAAGATCGATGATGCTAATACTTACAATCTGCTGCAGAGATGTGGAGAACACAGCTACGCAAGCACAGGTGAAACCTTTGGCATTAACCTTCACATCGGTAATCGTACAGATTCCCACACCTATAACCACAACCATGACGGAGGCCTTAACTTCTCTGCAGTAATGCTTGTTATGAAGGATCCATTCCATCACGCATACCACAGGAATCATGCTCAATTTCGAAATCTATGCACAAAAACAAGTGTTGGGTCATGATCAGGACGAACCAAAGTTCTCAGATGGGAGGCAAGAAATGTGAGAGTACCTGATAGAATCCGACAGAGTTGAGCATGAGACTGAAGTTCATGGCGGCGATGGAGATGTTTGCCACGATTGAGAACCAGAGAAGCTCCCAGAGAGGAACATTCTTCGATGCCGACAAGCCAGTGGCGTTTGAAACAAGACCCACCAACGCAGTGACCGCGAAGTGGAATCCCGTCAGAGTCGTGGCTGAAATCCATTCACGAACCAGCGGTTAGATCTCAACTCGGATCACGAATTAGTTTACGTATTCCACAAGAAACGGTCCCGTGTTCATGATTCACGAAGCTTTCAGTAACAGATCCATGGAAGTGTAAATAGTGAGTGAGAGAGAGAGAGATTAGGGACGAACCAAAGCTGAAGCCGAAACCAGAGGAGGACATGAGCTCTTTGTTGGCCATGATGATGCCGACGGAGCTGATGACGTTCATGGCCCAAGCGCCGACATCGGACACCGCCGACTTCTTCTCCGCCTCCGTCTTCTCCATCACTGAGAAATTGGATCGATCTGGAACGGATTCGAAATGATCCGAATTGCAAAATCAGATCGAACTGGATCCCGCAACTCTCAGATCCCAATGCTCGAAGGGAGATAGCGTAAACCCAATTGGATCCCGCGGATACGAGATCTGAATCTCAATTCGCCGTTTTCCGGCGAAAACAGCAGCGGAGGAAGAGAAGGAGACGAGATCTAAGGGAGCTCTTTCACGCCGTTTGGCCTCCTCGTGAAAGCGTTGGATAAACCAAAGAACACAGAGACAAACACCTCTCTCTCTCTCTTACCTTGTGACCTACTTACTGATTCACTCGTTGTGGCTACAATGTGCTTCCGCCATTGATGCTTAACTTCAAGCTCTGGACTATAAATCTTTTGATGGTTGTCTTTTATCGTTTTGCCATATTTGCCCTTTCTCCCATCAGTCTTATCGCTCGATTATTTATTTCTTTAATGGAAGGGTTTTTTCGTAATCTCGGTAACTACTAACTCCCTTCGTTAAACGTCTCTGTCCTTTTTTGTCACCATCAACCTCGAGATTAAACGTTCAGTAGTAAATTAAACAGTGTACGTAACTAATAATTATTATTCTTTATTTATTTCGTAATTATGAAAATTTCACAAAGAAATAATCGCCCGATTTATAAACATAATTAAAAATGTCATTTAACTTGTGAAAATTCGAAAGATGTACATATAATAGTTTTCATAAGTTGTAATCATCAGCTCAAATCAATTTAAAGATCACAAGACAAATTCTAAGATTTTGAAAATAACATCAATGCGGTGGTTAGAACCACTAATTCAAGATAATCACATCATAGATTGCGGTCCATGGGGTAAATAAAATAGGTAATTCACTGGCAAATCACTCCCAAATCCCAAAGTTATGAAATAACATTTTGGAGTTTTTCAATTTTTTCAGATATATATTTATTTCCTTTTATTTTGCTTTAAGTTCAATTTCGCAATTTCTGTTAAGTTTTTATTTACAAATAGTTATTTTTTGAAAAAGTATAGTTTTTTTATACCGATTCGGCTATTCTGTTAAAATTTATTTAAAAATAATCCATTTGTTAAAAGACTATAATTGTTTTACTTCGATTAATTATTTTTACTTAGAAAATTAATTATGTTTTATTTTAAAAAAATATTTGATTTTAAAAAAAAAAATATTATTTTACCGATTCGAATTATTTTTATATGATTCAAGTTCTTTTTACACTTTTATTTTGATTAATTTGATCAAATATTAGAGGGAAAAAATCACACCTATGCTCTATTAGAAACATCAATATTTTAGAGGAAAAAAATTCTCAGAATTTTTTCTCCTAACTAAAAAATATTTGAGGATTTTGTTTTAAAATATTCATGCAAATTTAAACCCTTTAAGATTCATAATCCAAAATAAAAATCACAAAATCAGAACCCTTACTCTTCAAGACAGCTAAATTTCTCTATGCCTTGAAAAAGGACAAACCCTCACATAGTTTCCTGTCTGCTAACACATGCCTGTACATTTAGTAGTAATATAAGAACAACATCACATGATTTCCTTCACACACACACACACACACACACACACACACACATATATATATATATATATATATATATATATATATATATATAAAGCTCAAACACATCACACATAACACAACACAACACACCAATCATGTGTTGTCAAAGACATGAGTTTTCATGTGCTCTCCAGAGTTCATACCAATAATTTCTTCCAACAACAACCAAACCCACTCACACCAGATTCACAGAATAATATGGCATCAAAACATTACATTATATCATCCAAATGCAATAACAATATATGCTAAAGGCTTAGTTTATACATTATAGTACAAGGGTATGATATATATGTTGATCCAAGTAATAGCCAGGGTTTGATACCTCGGATTGCGAATCAGTCCTCTATCTAAGAGCGTCTCTGTGCGCCAGGTGGCGGTGCGGGTCTCGGGAACTGAAAGTTGAATTCTTGATCTCCGAACCGAGGTGCTTCAACATATGGACTTTGAGGCTCCTTCAAAATGTAAACAACAACAGTGTTGTATTTGCTTTTGTTCCAATACAGGAGGACTCTATAAATCAATCATTTATGTGGCAATTGGCATGGTATGCGAACAATAAACATGTATCATGTTGAAGATGAAACAGAGATGGGGTTGTGAAAAGGGAAAGTTTGAGAATAGCAAGTTTAGAGTTAGGGTAGGTCGGATCTAAAATGATATGTAAGAGAGTCTTATGAGATGAGATGTTGTTGTAACATTAGGATGAATCAGTGAAGATGATAATCGGAAAGAGATACCTGAGGTCCAAATGTAGAGTGAGATGCTTCATCGGATTTGGAAGATTTCGGTGATGAAGAGGCATCATCATGATCTCCATCGTTACCGTTTATCTTGTGAGTCTCTGTCCTTAGCAAAGGATCATTCTCAGCTCCACTAGCTAATTTGGCCCTCTGTATGTGCAAAAATGTCAAATCTTTTAATCAGTCTTCATCATCGTCCAATTCAAATTTAACAAAAAAAAAGCTTTTAATTCCACGGAGGCATTAAAGAATATATTCACCTGGAAGATCTTCCCCAAAGATTTCAACCCTTTTGCTCTTGTACGAAGCTCCTCTTTCTTAACGTTGGGATCTTGAAGTACCTGAGGGGAAAAATCCATCAACAAGGTTACCACTAAAAACCCATCAACATAAAAGCAAGTAGGAGTATCAGTTAAGAGGACAACCAGCTGACAAACACGGGAAAGA